TCTCTCTCTCTCTCTCTCTCTCTCTCTCTCTCTTCAAGGTGCTCTTGTTCACAACTCTTGGTTCTCCCCTATCCTCGTCTTCAACCGATGTGCTTCATGATGAACAATGTGTCAGGTCGTTTTCATCTCTCAAGATACGCTATCGATTTGCTCTTCCTTTCTGCACCAATCCTCCCTCGAATCCTGGCTTGTGGCATTCTTGATGAAAACTACTGACCTGTTTGGCTTCAAAGGCCCAGTTCTCCGATCCAAACGCAAAGGTTGATCAAAACCGACGGTTAAAAGAAAGGAACGATGAAAATGCAAGACCCTCATTTGACCCTATTGGCTGGCTGGTTCAAAGTCTATCCTCAGGTGCCTACAACAGTGGGGGCTCCAAAGAAGAAGAAGACCTGTCAGCGCGGTCCAGGATCAGCCCCCACCTCGTCCGTCCTTACGCGCTCGTAGCTCCCAACACTTTTGCTCGCGGTCCCTCCTAGCTTGCCATAGCCATTCGTAAATCCATCGCTCAATGGCGACCTTTTCCTCGCCAGTTCCTCCCACATGTCCTGTATCTGTTGCATGGACGCACCCTTCGTCTCTGGTAATGAGAATGTGACAAACACGAAAGCGGCGATGGCAATGAACATTATTAGTAGAAAAGTCAGTGACGTGCCGAGCAGCCTGGTTAGCGTCAAGAAGGTTTGCGCGACAAGGAGATTCGCGATCCAGTTGGCTGTGGCGGCCACTCCGTTCGCAAGACCCCGCCACTCAATCGGATATATCTCGGAATTGACTGCCCACGGAACGGGACCCATTCCAGGGGCGAAGGCCATGATGTAGAGGACGAGTCCTATGAGCGCAAGGAACCCGTACTTGCTAGGACATCCGCGACGAGCGTACCAACTATGCGATGCACTTGTACATGCAGCCGCGGCCGTGGAGTTGAGAACAAGGCAGCTCCCTCCTGCCGCCATCTGCTCGTGCACATCTCGCCCGGCGGCGCAGAAGCCGCACCCGTTGCTCAGACAATCCGCACAGTCCATCAACGTCGACGGTGCGGGACAAACGAAGTCGGAGCTGAGCGGCAGGTCTCCGACTCCTCCTTGGACTCCCGGTGAGCTGTTTGCTGTAAGCTTGAAGGAAACTGAGAGGGTTGCGAGTGCAACAATCACCCCAGCAAGACTCCATAGCACAAGCTTCCGCCGCCCGTATCTGTCGATAAGCAAAATACCAAGGACAGTCCCAAGTGCGTTCGTCAGTGCCACCAACATCGACAACTTCAGCGCCGTCTGATGCGCGGCGAACCCTGCCAACTCGACAATCGAAGGGCTGTAATACATCACAGTGTTTATACCCACTAGCTGCTGAAATACCTGCAAACCCACTCCTACCGTCAGCGCGAGCCTCATCTCCTTCCGCGATATCATTTCCTTCACCCGCGAGCAGCTGCTACTCATATTACCGCTGTCACCTTCCAAAGGCAATAGTTCCGGAGGGTCGTGGTCCCCACCATACTCCTCCCGCTTTGGCTGGACCACATAGTCAGCCATCTCCGCTTCACCGCAGTTCGCCAGATTCAGTTTCCTTGTCGCAATTCTAGCGTCCTCCACCCTTCCTTGCCTTAGCAGCCACCTAGGAGACTCCGGCAGAAATAACAACAGCACTGATTGGATGACGGCTGGCAATCCAGCGACCCCCAACATCCATCTCCATGTCCCGGGGACTTCCGTAAACGCATAATTTACCACATAAGAAACGAACTGCCCAGTCGTAATCATTAGAACATTGACGCTGACGAGCGCTCCGCGGATGGCAGGAGGAGACGTCTCCGCAATATACAGTGGGACAGCCATGGATGCAAGTCCCACGCCGAGTCCCACTAAAAGGCGGCCTACAATAAGGAGCACTGGACCCGGGGCGGCCGCCATAACCAGTGCCCCGAGGGCGAAGACGACATCCGACATTAAAATGCTAGGCTTCCGCCCGAACTTGTCGTTCAAATGTCCACCTGCCGCTGCCCCGATCGCTGCCCCCAATATAGCCATGCTCACTATGAGTTCCTGCAGTTCAGTGCTCTGGTCGACTGACGGAAAGTCGTCGCGCACATACAAGAGAGCACCGGAAATGACACCGGTGTCGTAACCGAAGAGGAATCCACCGATACCCGCAGAGAGCGTGAGGAGAATGATACCAAATTGCCCGCCATTGCGGGACTTCGGAGGAGCGACCGGCACTGTGCCATCCGCCGCACTCACTCCGGAACAACGGGCCAACGACTCCATGACTTCACTCCCACTCCCACCACTCCCATCCGGTTGTAGCTTCTCCAGTACACCTCTCTTCTTCATTCCTATTTGTGAAGGAAAAACTGCCCACGCCTGGAAACCACTTGATAACACAATTGCACATGAGGCGATCCTCCTGCCCAACAACCTAATTTCACCTACTATTATTTTTATATATTCCCTTATTTACGCGGGGGATGAAAGCGTTCGTCTTTAGAAAAGAAAATTTATGAAAGAACAAACAACTCGGAAATTTCGAACATGTCTCAGACCCCATCCTCAGGCCCACTTCATCCCTGCCACCTCTGACAATCTGATCTGTCCAGGTGACAGTACCAATGAACTATAAGGAGATTGAAGATCCGTAACAGCTTTGCAGTTCAAATTTACGTCCTATATAGATAGTATAGTATAACATAGTATAAGATAGTATAGGATAGTATAGTATAGTATAGTATAGTATATAGCATGGTATATAACCTATAGAGTCGTATATAGACCAAACATCACCAGGCATAGGAAAAAACTGCCAACTACGACCGAAATACTGAAAAGGAGAGTAAAACCAACAGTACTTCCTAAAGCCGTGCCCGTTAACAAGGCACGATGGTAGGGAACGTACGGACGACTTCAGGAGCGCCCAAATTCATCCGACTTTTTAGAAACGTTTCTAGTCTATTTCTTTTTTTCCACGGCCGATAGCTGGGGCAAGCACTGGTGGTTTTTGACATGTTTCTTTTGCCACTTTCTGAAGTTACTCTGAGGGGTCTGCTTCACAGTTTTGAGGTTTCAGCTAGTCAGGCACATATGATATAGCTTTTAGTGCAGAGCAAAGCCTTCTCTCTTCCACAGACAGTGACAAGCCTCCTTTCCTTAGCTCCCTCGTTCTCGCATCAATGATATCTTTTTCTTTGGAAAAAAAAAAAAAAAAAAAAAAAAAAAAAAAAAAAAAAAACCCTTTATCTTTACTGCCAAAAGAGGAGTTAGTTTAGCACAGGGAGAGTTACCTCCCTGTGTCAAAAAAAAGATAGTTAGTTTAGCAAAGCTTGAGCTGCAGTGACTCACACATGGTTAGTTCAGCACAGAGTTAGTTCTGCACAGCGAGAGCTAACCAACTACGTCAACCAGAGTTAGTTTACCACAAGGGACGGCTAGCGAACTATGCACAGACCTAGCTAACTATGTTAACCATAGTTAGTTAAGCACAGATTGTGCTGCACTGACTTACTGGTCATTACCTCAGCACAGGTAGAGCTAACTAACTATCTCAACCACAGTTAGTTTAGCAGAAGGACAGCTAGCTAACTATATGTCAGAAGAAAAAAAAGGCAGCTTAGCACAGATTGCCCTGCATTGACTTACAGCTTACAGACCATTAGTGTAGCACAAGACTCACTTTAGTACAGGTAGAGCTAACTAACTATCTCAACCACAGTTAGTTTAGCACAGGGACAGCTAGCTAACAATATGTCAAAGACAGTTAGTTTAGCACAGGTTCACATAGCTAACTATGTTAAAGACAGCTAGCTTAGCACACTTAGTTTAGCACAGTTCGTTTAGCACAGTTGGTTTAGCATAGCACGGTTAGTTTAGCACAGTTATTTTAGCATAGCACAGATAGTTTAGCACAGTTGGTTTAGCACAGTTATATAGCATAGCACAGATAGTTTAGCACAGTTAGTTTAGCAAAGTCAGTTTAGCAAAGTTAGTTTAGCACAGTATTGTGCTGCATTGACTTACAGACCGTAAGTTCAATGCAGAGTTACTTGAGCACAGGTAGACCTCACTAACTATGTCAAAGGACAGTTAGTTTAGCACAGAGAGAGAGAGCTAACTATGTTAACCATAGTTAGTTTAGCATAGACTGTGCTGCGTTCACTTAGTTTAGCGCAGAGGGAGAGCTAGCGAACGATGTGATAGACAGTTGGTTTAGCACAGACTGTGTGTGCTGCATTATCTCAGGTTTAGCAGAGGG